GAAAAGGTACTAGAAAAAAATTTCATAAAATTAGCATTACATGACAAATCTCTACTTTAAAGCAATACTTTAAATACTGTTACCAAATTGGCATGTACATTTTGAAAGCTACAAATAAATAATGGCAAATTTAAACCTTTTCAGTTCCAAAGATGCATCTCTAGGATACAAGAAAGTTATAAATACTTTCACTTTTTCCTCTTGACAAGGATCTAAAAATATCACAGAGTTTACTAAACTTTATATTACTGTAAGAATTACAATAATTCTGTTTAGAACTTAATAGGTAATTTTCAAATGTTTCACATATTTTTTCCAAGCAGGACAGCAGTTTGTTCTATGATGTCCTTTTCTTGCAATTTCCATCCAAAAACTTCGGCAATAACCCATATAAATCAATACTTCAATAAACACATGTCCCTTTTGGGTTTTTTGCTTTATTAGCAGAATACAAGGTAAATTTTTTTCATATCAAAGCCAAGAAATTAAAAGACAATATGAGCCATGTATGCAGAAAAGGTTAGAAAAAAACTTAAAATCATTTAAATATCAATCAGCATACCATTAATTCCAAACATTTACTATCCCTCAGAATAATTTTAATAGGATCTCTAGGTAACTTTAAAGAAAAATGTTAGCCAAGATGTACCCCACCTAGAAGTATACAAGTAAGTTTGGTGCACAATCCCCTATATAATCAGTTAGAGAGAGAGGAAGCTCTGCAACATGAGTTAAATCTACACAAGGTGAAAACTGCCTTCGATTTGCCCATTTTTCCTTCCTATTTCCTAACTGAAATCAGATAGGTGCCTAAAGCTGAAGATGAGTCTTGGAAACAGGCCCTAGAGACATGTAAAAGATCTAATTATTGTAAGGTTCTCTTTATGCTATGTTGCTATGTTGGGGTTCAAAATGGATTTCTTCCAATTTTATGAATACCACTGTTGTCTTCTTCCTCCAGTACTACCCAAATGAATAGGTGTAAAATAATGACTTGCAGCTGTAAATATGAGAAAACATAAATTGCAAAAGTGGGATTTGCTCATGGGTATTGTATAGCAGCCACTGCAAACGATAAAAGGTGCAAAAGTGTCAGGAGAGGCTCACAAACCAACTAAAGATGCTCCACTTAATCCTGCTGGACAGTTTTTCACCCTAAATACACCTTTTTTTTGGTAAAATCTCTAGGTCCAGATATGCTTCTTACCTGTATGAAAACCTAAAAAATCTCGAATTCTTGCAATAATAAAAATATGCTTAAAATGCATGTTTATCATTTCTGAACTACATGTTTATGTCCAGCATTAGCCTGAGGAGATCAGTCTCCCTCTCCTGTGAATGTAGAAGAGTTCAGACCACAGCTCCACAAAACTCAGCAGACCACAAAATTTCCCTTCAAGCCATACCCAAAATATGGCACAGCAAGACCTAAGAGACAAAAAAAAAAAAAAAAAAAAAGCAAAACTAAAATGCAGTGGAAGTCTGCTAGAACACTGAGAGAACAAAAAAGATGTTTCATGAAAACAAAAAAAGTAAAAATCCTTTTTCACTTTTTATTCTGTTGGTAAACAAAACATAGATGATCTCACCTTTACCCATATTTATATTTGAACCCAGTCTGTGCAAGTCCAGCAGCAGGTCTCTGCCAGAAGTGCCTGAGTTAATCCACAAGGTTATCTTCTCATCCCCAACCCCGTCCTGCAATCCATGTTCTACTTTTGCTCACACTAAATAAAGCGAACTGATATTTATAGCATTTCTTAGGAGGCTGGATGTTTTCATCTACTCACCAGGTCATCCAAAATACCTCAGAAATCAAGTTTCATGACATTTACCAAAACAAGGCTTTGAATCACTAACTTTGAGATGTTTATATAGGGATAGTAAAAAACATATAAACATGGGGAAAAAAAATCCTCATCTGTTTTTTTCTTCTGATTTATTACATAATAATTCAACAGCAGAGGACTTTTAATGCACTCCTGTAATTCTACAGCAAACAGAAAAGGCTCCAAAATAATCTTTATAAGAAAGGGGAAAATTATTTCATATTAAATCCATATAACAGCAACTCAGACTGTCAACCTTGTTGCTTCTACTGTAGAATCAAAGTAGAATTATAAGGCAAAAATATCTTTCAAGCAGTTGCTTCAGCACAGAAGGCAGTTTAGGTGATTAAACCAGAGACTAACATGGCACTGGTACCACACATTTTTAAAAGAAAATAAAGGCACTTTGAAATATCATGTCGAAAATACTGAATAAATTACAGGATATGTGTTTCACAGAGAAAGAAGAGCAAATAGCTGTAATTTGGGAAGCTAGAATTTCTTTAATGAGATAGCATAAAGGACTCTATGAACAAAAGAACCTTTCTCAAAGGTTTTCAGTGTCTTTACACAAGTTTCAGTACTCTACTTTAGTAGCAGTATATGCACTGCATTTGCATTTCTTAGGTGTTTTTTTCTCACTAACCATTTTTAATCAGCACATAATATATAAACGGCATTAAGAGATCAAGAACTTTCTGTTGTGAGCTATGCAAATCCTGAGTTATGAAAAACACGTCCTGCTTTGTGAAATCACAGTAACCTTGGATTGTCTGAAATTACTGTTTCAGAAAAAACCACTTTAGCATTTATCTCTAGAGAAGGCAGCCTTCATCCTCATCTCATGATCAATCAATCATCAGAAACATTCAGCTTCCCTTAATAGCTGGTTTCAGCTCATAGGTGGAGCTTTGCTTTCTAAGGTTCACAGCAGATGAATTAACATGTGCATATTATAAGCTGGTAGTATATGGTCTAAGGATTAACTACTATAGCAACCAGTACTGTAGTCTGCCAACACATATACACTCAAATTTCTGGATTTTCTAAGTTTATATGGATAGGAATTCTATGTAGGTGTTCATTTATTGTACAGAGATTGTAAGTTTTATAAGTGGATTTCTTCAAGCACAAAAATGCACAGCCATTGCATCACCCTTACAAAAAAAATCCCTTGTATATTGTCCAAAATGAAACTGCTACTAAAAAAATAATTTCACTGTGTTTTACAAATACATATTTTACACATTGTCAAATCTCTCCCGCTTCTTCATTTCTATATAATTAATCTAGAAGAGTATTCTGGACAGTACCACGAATTATTCAAACTGAAATAAGATGGCATGAAACCATGGTATAATCAAAACCTTTCTACCCACAAACTTAATTCAATGCAAACTGCAATTTAAAACACAATTAGAAGCATTAAAGTGCACTTTTATTACAAAACACTTTAAGAATGGTCTCTGAGGACTGATCAAGTGACCTCTCTGCTGTCTTTTCTCCCTGAATGGAAGTAGAGTTGGCCAGACTGTGCATACCCAGAGGTATTTTCACCCAGACCCCCCTATACCTGGTTTCTTTAGGAAAGCAGCACTGTGAAGAAGTCTTACTCATAACATGATGACACAACAACATCAGATGACACCACTAAGTACTGGGTTCTTTGAGTAAGTAGTGAACACTCAGTGGAGTTCAATATCACCTAAAAATTAATTCCTACGGATAATATCCTACAGATATGAGAACATTCCTCTCCCCTGACACACTTCTGCATCTAAGACTCTTAGGCAAATATGGGTGGAAGGGGAACAATCCTGTTTCAACTGTAGCTGCCTATACGTGTGAATTAGATATACATGTCAAATTCTGCTATACTGTGTATACTACAGCTATCCACAAATGAGTAATTCATCTTAATTTCACCACTTCCAGTGGAGCAGAGCAGAAGCATTTTGAGAAAAAACAGAGGTCCAAGTTAGAAGAAAAGTACCACAAGACAAGGATGGAAGAGAAGAAATAAAAAAGTACTGCACTAAAATATGCTTCCTCTGTCTGTAAATATAACTCTGTTGCTTGTAAACCTATCATCTGCATTTCAGCTGCTTTTTTCCTAGTATATTCTTCTATTTTTTCCTGTCTCCTGACATGACCTTTTTTTTTTTTCTCCTCTTTGGTCACTCTCTCCTTCCTTCTTCCTACTGTCTTCCTTTGTATGTTGCTCTTCTGAATTTACCTTTCACTCTGACTCTCCTCTCACTTCAAGTATTCTGGAGTAATTATTCCTGGTTTTTCCTTCTATCATTTCAGTTCTGTAACCTCACTTCTTTACTCCTGAGATTCAGCACCTCCTTTTTTTTGTCCTGTAGCAGATGCAATAATGTTTGAACAGCCCAACAGAATTTGGGGGAAGCTCCAGTGATAAATATCAAGGTTGCTAGGTGACATTTTCAACTAGTATGAAAATCCTGCCTCATCAGCAGACCATTAATACAGAATTTATTTAGAAAACAATATAAGACAGAGATTACAGTGAGATACTGAAGACAACCAATATAATAGAAAAGTAATTATTCAAATAAATCAAGAAGAACAATGCCTATGCTTCCATAGACCAAGACTCATACATCTGTTACAGCAGTATTTCCTGCAACAGTAGGAGTGAGTAGGAAGACACCCACCTCACGGGAGAGGTATCATCATGTTACAATTAAGTGCCATATTAGATTTTTGTCTTTTAATGGATAACTATCAACCAGAGCACTGGCCTTCCAGAAGCAACACTATGTAAACTCAACTTTCCAGGCTGCTATTAACCTGGTAACCTGAAAGCTACCCTGGAAGCTGTGTGATCTATAAAACATATCTCAATTCTTCCACAAAGAAAACAGTTTTAAACTTTCCAACTCAGATAACTTTTAATCCCCTAGATTCAGTTAAGATCACATAAAGTCATGCTGGTATGCAGTCCCTTAAAAATGACCAAAGTCCATGTGAATGCTGTGCAGCATCTCTGTTCTCCAATGCTTTCCCAATCAGCACCACTGGCTCAGTCCAATGCAGCTACCATGCATCACGGTACAAGCTGTGCAAGGAAAATTATTCAGCTCAAAACTACCTGGAGCAGAAATAGCAGCCAAATTTACTTAAACCTGGAGCTGTCAGGAATGCAGTGCCAACCAGGGCCACCTACTAGGGACAGTAATAATTTTTAAGATCAGACAACACGATAACCTCAGGAAACGCAGTTTATATGAACTCAGAAAATAAAAGACTACTTTGCTTTTATTCCATGCAACATTTGAATCCCAAGCATCAGTCAGACTTTCATGGTATAGAGGCAGACTTATATTAAGTCTCTTTTTAGAAAGGTTTTAAGCTTCAAATTACACCATAGAGATATTATTGTTTTATCTTTAATAATGAAAGACATTTTATATGATCTTGGTGACCATGGCTGCTACTGCTCTCAGTACCTTTGTTGAAATTTTAGTTGGGTGGAAAGGACAAAAGGCCACTCTGGGAACAAGTTAAGCACAATGCAAAAGAGAATTTTCTGGTTTTTAAATCAGTGAATGCTTGTTAAGAGTAAACAGCGTTTTATAGTCAACAGGTATATATTCTACAAGCCAAACAGATCTGACTTTGAATAAAATGTTTATTCCAAAGTATGAATGTGATTTTGTCAGTTTGATCCACTTATGATTAAGAAAAAGGCTGAAGGGATTTCAAGCCATTAAATAGGAAATGTAATTTAATGACTCTCTCAATTACTTTCTGCTTTAGATGACAACAAAGACAGGAAGACTGCCTTCCCTCAGACTCCACACAGGATTGTTCCAAGGCTGTCCAAAATCTTTCTGAAGGGCATCAATGGTTAATTCACATATTGATTCAGACAGCCACCAGCTCACAGTCACAGCAAGTCCAGACAAATGGACAACTCTGAGGCCTGATTAAGTGCCCTCTCCGCTGTCTCTTCTCCCTGAGCAGTTGACCAGACTCTGTGCGTACCCAGAAGTATTTTCACCCAGACCCATCTATACCTGGTTTCTTTAGGAAAGTAGCACACTGTAAAGAAGTCCTACTCATAAGACACCAAGGAAAAAAAAATCCTCAAAAACTAGCCTGTGCTAATTATTTTTGACAAACCCGTCTTAGCATATTCATTGGTGTTTACAAATAGATCTTTTTTTTCCAATAATTAAACTAAACTTGAGCCTCTGTTTTAGTTCCACTGTTAAAACACAAAGACGAAAGGAATCAAATGCTGTTGATGATTGCTCAATAGGATATTCCATCAGCCTTAGCATAGAGTCACTATTTTAGGAGAGAAAGTGGTTTGGAGTGGAGCCCATTCAACTGCCAGTGTTTCTATGTCAGGTCAGGGAAAAATCCACAAAATATATCTGGGCTCTGTGTCAGTTCTCACCTCCAAAGAGGCTACAGGAAAGTTGGAGAGGGAGTTTTTACAAGGGCATGTAGTGATAGGATGAGGTATTGGCCTCAAAATGAAAGGGAGTTGGCTTAGATTTGATATTAAGAAGAAATTCTTTACTGTAATATGCCATGTAGTGGTGAGTCACCAGAATGATTTTCCTGACTCGTCTCTGTGGAAATGTGCAAGGCCAGGCTGATGGGACTTTGAGCATTGGTTCAGTGGAACATGGCTCTGCTCATGGCAAGGGTGGTGGAACTAGGTGACCTTGAAGCTCCCTTTCAGACCAAACTGTTCTAGGATTCTGTGATTTAACTTGCAGGTTCTCTCCAAAACACCACTTCATTACCAAAGGCATCGATAGGAGACAATTAGCTTCCTTCAAGATCATACAACATTTATAGTTTTGACCAGAGTTTCAGTGCTCTGAGTTTGTTGGACCAGCATTCATGCAGACAGGTGTCTAACCTCAACCTCACAAGTCAAATTCTCAGAGACTGTTATGGCTTAACTCAGGGACATAGAAGAAAATAAAGCAAGAAGACTGCCAATGCAAGGCTCTTAATAGGTTATAGATGAAAGGAGGAATGCTTCTTCGAAGCCCTTAAATTAACAGCCCTCTTCTATCCACAGACTGTTCTTGGCCAATATCCGTAAGTAATGGAATTATGAAAAACAAGCTGCAGCTTCCAGAGTTTTGCAATTACCAGGGGATCATACAGCTTGAAGAACCATAGATGGCTGCATGCCGCAGAAAATTCTAAGTCAAAGGGCTGTAGTCAAAGGTCATTTTAAAAAGCAACTTTCCAATTCGAGATATAATTAAGAAAATTTGAGAGGTCTGGTATTTAAAGGGAAGTAAGAAATTACATACATATATATTGCAAATTTAAAGATTAACAAGTCATTAAAAGGAGTGTCTCATTCACCTCCCACTACTGCAAGTTTTAAAACATGAATACAATTCATAACTTGTGAAAACATGTGAAACAAGTTTATTCTAAAATTGAAAGAAGATAGTTACACCTGCACACAAGTAAAATATTTGGTATTATTTAAGACCACAAAATTAGCTTTTTCTGCTCTCCTCTATTTGTACCAGAAGAGAAAATGTGATCTGCCATGAGCTCTTAAAAAGAGCCATGAAAAGCAGATTTTAGCTGTTTTCACACTATATTAGATCTCCAGGGTCTAACTTAGGAGATGAAACTCCTTAAAGTAATCAATATATTCTCCAGAAGACTCAACATTTCCCTTTTTAGCCCAATTATGTTCACAGTACTGGATGATGCCATTGAAGCACTTCAGTCAATTCAGCCTGAGTGAAGAATATAGAGAAGAATACAAAAACCCAGCAGCTCTAAGAAATACTATTCAAAACATTTTTACAACACAAATAGCTACATCAGCAACATACCTGAAGAAGAACATGAACAGAGCAGCTGTGATGCAGAACAAAAGGACCTACAAGAAGGAGAAAGAGTGTTATTACATAACACACTACTACTGCTTGTTCTGGATCATGAAGATTTTTATAACTTTTACTATAAAAGCTATACTTTATTTACATGCTCGAGGGGCCAGAATGAAAGCTTGTCTGAGTCTACCAAAAAGAACTGCCTACTTTCTAGTGGACTTTGAATGATTCCTGTAGACGCTCACAAACTGAAAGACAAACCAGGGTAGTGGGACAAGGGACACAGCAAATGGCACCAGTTAGAAGCATCTAAGACCAAGTAATAAAAGATCAAGTAATAAAATAATTATAAAGCAAAAGAATTTAAACAATAAAATATTAGAACTGAAATTTAAATATCATATTTTAACAATCTTTGCTTTTGTGATTTATTCAAATATCATACTGCTAGGTCCAGTTTAAAAGGCATGGTGTTTAAAACATCTGTATAGACAGCTGCTTGTGCTGAACTGCTTTCCAGCAAGTTTGAGAGTAGATAATTCTATTCCAAATTAACAGCACCCTTTCTAATTGTTTGCCTTAGTGCTAAGGTCACTTGAAGCAATCCTATCTTGCTCTGTATCATCAGTTTGCTCATACAAGAGTCATTGGGCAAACTTAGAAGCTCTCCAGCAATGAGGGGAACATCCTACTTGCTCCTGCCATCCTCTCTGCTGGGACTTAGAGCTGTTACCTTCTCCTTATCACCTGCACAGGGACATACAAATGCAGAAGAAAATCTGCCTTAATCCACTTCATCTTTGCCAGGTACAACTCACAAGTAAGAAAATATTGTTTTGTTCTAGATATACTGGCCCATATTTACACCGTCATTTAGGAGGCAAAATCCTTACAGAAATATTGGCAAGTCTTTTGGAAAATATTTGCACCTATTTTCAAGGGTTGAAGAAGTTTTCATCATGAGAGAATACAGACATCTTATGTGAGAAGAAATGGAAGAGGTGGCAGAGGTGTAAATTAGAAGGTTATAAACACATAGAACAGGAGGCTGCTGTGTGTTAAAACAGATCAGAAAGTGTGACAAAAATTTGCATAGGAAATCTTTACAATGAATTTCAGAGAAAAAAAAAAATCTTACAAATGACACCGTTTCCCTTTCTAAGCCCTCTGACATGTGACTTAAAACTAGGTCACTTGAGACATTATAACACCTGCTGTGTAAACTACCCACTTTTCCCTTTTCCTTCATCAGTACTATTATACTTTATTAATCTTCATCAAAAATATGAACATCTGAAATAATTTTATACAAAATCATTAGGGCAAAGGTATATTTCATGAGGGTAATGGAATATTTCATTTCAAACTAGCAGCAAAAGCAGACAAGCAGACTTGTTTTTAAACATAAATTCTACTCAAAAAGATCTGCCCTAATCTTCTGAAGGTCAAAATGTATTTGATCAGTCAAACAACCATCAGTTCTCTGGAGGTTATTCTGGAGATGCAGGGAGAAGGCAGCTTGACAGCCTGAGCAACAGTATTGGGATATAAATGAGAAATGGCAAAGAACCAGTTTTCTGGATGATGGGGGGGGGAGTGAGGGGGGTGTGACAAAACAATAAACAAAACGAAACTAAACAAAACGAGTATGTCTTTGCATACTAAAAAGACTTACTTCACTTAAACAGTCCTTTTCTTGTCTTTTTTTCTTTTATTCCTTTTTTACCTTTTTTTTCCCCCCAGTAAGTTTGATCATAATCTAACAAGTATTTAGATGTATCATTAAGATGCCCTCTGACCTCTTTGTACTCCAGGCTAAAGCACTGCAGCTCTCTCAGCTTGGGAACATAGGCACTGGACACAACACTATAGACGTGTCTCAGCAGCACTGAGTAGAAGGGAAACATCACCTTATTCAACCTGCTGGTAGTGGCCTCCTATGCTGGAAGAGCTCTTTGCTGGCTCATATTCAGCTTGGTGCCCACCAGGATCCTCTATTCTCTTCTGGAAAGCTGCTTTCCAATGTCCCCAGGATACACTGGTGCCTGGGGCTATTTCTCACCATAGCCATGACTCAGCCCTCGAACCTCATGAGGTTCCCATGTGGCCATTTCTCCAGCCTGTGGAGATCCCTCTGGTTGGCAGCACAACCACCTAGCACGGCAATAGCTCCTCCCAGTTTTCTATCACCTACAAAGCTGCTGAGGGTGAAGCCTCTTGGCTCCAGGTCATTAATAAAAACCCTGCTGACCCGAGTATGACCTGCTGGGGTCACCCACCAGTGACCAGTCTCCTGCTGGACTTTGTGCTGCTGACTACAGCCCTCCTCGCCTGCAAGTTCAGTTCAGCCAGTTTTCAACCCACATCATAATTTTGTCTATAACCCATATTCCATTTAGCAAAATCTGGAAACTAAAAATACTGAAGGCCTTGTTTAATCAACCGCTATAATTTCCAGATGTTGTGCAGAACTTAAAAATGTTCCTTGAAAAATCTAAGATGTGGATGACCTTGGGCAGGTGGAGAAGCAGGAACTGATACCAACTTTTGCAAATGAGAATTTCAGGGAATATTAGACTGTCAATCAGACCACTTCTAGTATCTACAACCATACTGCAATATATATCATATGACACAGGCAGCTTATAACCAGCTAGATAACAAGATAAGAAACAACCAACAATAAAGAAGTAAATTAAAATTAGTGGAATTTTCTTTTATGACAGATAATTTAAGGAAACAGGTGTAATTTTTCCTAATTTTAACACACCTTGATCGCAGTCGCTTATGCTAATTAAGTAAGTGTACACAGGGCTGCTCAAAAACACTGCAGAAGAAAACTATCATAGCTAGTAGCTCATCATCAAACTAAAAAGCATTTAAGTGAAGTCACTAAAGAGGTTTTGCCTCTCTCTTCAACAATGATTTAAATGATGGAAAGTGATTTAATTGCCTGAAGTCAACACAATCAAATTCAATTAAAATGCATATGAAGTAGTTGGCAGGAGAAATCACATACATAAAACCAAGAAACAACTGTGTAGGCAAGAGTATAAGGAGTATGTATACAAGAGTACAAAAATTCCACAGGTCACAAGTAAGAAGGCACATATAATGCAATGCTGTAGAGAGCATTGTAAAATACTAAAGACTTTCAGAACCAAAGGCAAGATGCTACACTAATAATCTCATGCTAGCAACATCAGTGTTGGGAGCACCACTATTAAAGAAAAGCACTGACAAAACAAGGCAGTCCAGAAGATCATAATGGAAATAAATGGCCTGTACGGTACAACTGTTGGAAAATTGCTGAAATTATAAAAGAAGTAGTTAGTGATGAATATGAGAACTATTTTAATATAATTATCATATACTGATAAACCTGTCTCATCAAGTACAGAAGGAGGAAGGCAGAGTTACATCTACAGCAAATAAAGCATTGGTTAGATAATAGAAAGAGCTCTCTCCAGGGTAGTGGTACACCAGAACAAAGCTGTCTGTGAGATTGTGGAATCTCCTTTATTAGAGATGCTTAAGATCAGTAGAGGCAATCATATCCAAGAAATGCTTTGGGCACGTTTGACAGGGTCTTTCCAATATTTACTCAACTGAAGGACAGTAAACAAGACCCAGACTCTTCTACATTAAATTCACAGCCCCATATGGAAAGTCCAAACACTGCCTTATCATGGCACAAATAAGGCAGAAACAGAAGAAAAATTATCATTGTGCTCCAAATCTAAGCTATTTTCAAAATAAGCCTTTTTTAAACTTTTCCCCTGTTCTAGAATTTTTTTGCAATATCCTCAGTACAATATGCAATATCTATTTTAGTTTTTAAAATAATTATATTTTTTAAAAAAAGAAAATACTAAGGCCTACTACAGAAATATACTTCTAAATATTAAGTGAATTTAAGACTTCTACTCCAGTGAGCAGATGTCTCTCCTGGGATTTTTCTTGCAGAGTCCATTACTTTTTGATTTACAATGGAAGACCAACACAATGTACTTGGCAACATACAGACCTTGAAACTTTCCAGCTGAAGAAACAGATACAAGCAGAAAACCTGCATGTTGCTAATGAGAATGATATGCCCTAAATATTTTAACAGCTATGAAGAGATGCCCATAGGTTACAAGGAAAAATCCTTATGCTCCAGGACAGGTTAGCATATTTGGTATGTGAATACTTCAATTTAATTCATTACATTATACTTTACTGTGCTATGCTAAATCTTAATAAAAAAATAAAAATTAAAAGGAAATTTGCTGACAAAATGAAGAAGTTTTTTTTCCAGATCTCTGTTGGCTGACAAAGCCAGTATTTATTTTTTTCCAAGAAAGTTTAGCCCTCATATAATCAGCAACAGGAAGTGACATCCGGCATACCCAGCACTGAGCAGAAACAAAAAGCTCTGGGTGAAAGTGGTTACCACTTGCCCTGCTGACAGCAGAAGACCCAGTAACACCAGTAGAAGCAGCTCACAAATGACCTGCCCTCTCACCCAGATAAAAATCTTGGCCCAAAGAAAGGAAAAATAACACTGCTAAAACTATCAAAACTACTTGAGTCTTGTGTATTCAGGCTTTTCCCACACATTACTCAATTCTGAGGTTATGGGCATTTTCTTTAAGCATTTCCATTATAGTCAGATTTCCTGGGGTACAAAAGGTCTCTGATTGGAGGCTGCTGGTTCTCCCCTACAGCCAGAGTAAAGAATAGGACTGAAGTCTGTGATAAAGGAACACAGACCTTGTAATTAAAAGGAAAAGCACTGAAGGTACTCGTAATCTATTTAATGAAGACAGGAGGAGGTAAAAGAGCAGATCAGTGATATTAGCTGGTAGAAGCAGCGTGCTGGAGAGCAACTCCAGAGTGTTGGAGCTACAGCTCAACACTGCATAGTGCTACTACCAACTCACAGAAGACCTAAAGCAGCTTCAACCACTGGCACATAACACTTGACTTCCAGTGCATTCATAAAGCCTGAAAACCATCGCCTTCCTGATCAACCACTTTGCAATGTATGCAAGACCTACAGCTA